AGTGTTTAGTGCAATGGGGTCATCCTGAGACAGCCTCCCCCAAACTGATGAGAAATGACGCACACAAATCCACACCAGCTTAGCCAACAACTGCTTTCACAATCGTGAAGGTCCTGGTGACAGAGAAGCATGGTAAGAGTATTGTCTAAGTTTGTTTTAAAGAGAATCTATGGAGAAAATACATGGTGCTTTAAATAAAAATGAGTTGTCTTGTCCCATGTCATAAATTTCACGAGTCCACACTCACAAATATTTAAAACCTGCATATCTAACAAAGAAAGAAAAGTTTGACACTCCAAAAATTCTGAACTTTTTTGTTAAAAGGTAATTTACTATTACTACAACAACTACCACTGCTACTTCACCTGTTACTACTACTAAGCCTTAATCATTATTAATAAAATATTTGTTTATTATTATGGTTGGGTATCATTAAGAAGCTGCTAATATGATCTCGACATCTCTATACATAGACCACAATATGATATGTATCTCGATACAGTGAGCTTCCGATTTGATAAGATATATTTCAAATCGCCCCTCCTTGAACCGTCACCTTATCGTGGTGGAGGGGTTTGAGTGCCCGAATGATCCCGGGAGCTATGTTGTCGGGGGCTTCATGCCCCTGGTAGGGTCACCCAAGGCAAACAGGTCCGGGGGGACGGGTCAGACGAAGAACGGTTCAGAAGCCCCTATGATGAGTGTACGAGCAAGGCCAGTTACGTCGCCCGGATTGGCGTCACCGGGGCCTCACCCTGGAGCCAGGCCTGGGGTGGGTGCTCGCCAGCGAGCGCCTGGTGGCCGAGCCTCCCCCCACGGGGCTCGGCCGGGCTCAGCCCGAAGGAGCGACGTGGGGCCGTCCTCACGTGGGCCCACCACCCGCAGGAGGATCCATATGGGGCCGGTGCAGAGAGATCTGGGCAGCAGTCGACGGCGGGGGCCTCGGCGACCAGATCTCCGGACATGGAGACTAGCTCTGGGGACATGGAATGTCACCTCGCTGGGGGGGAAGGAGCCTGAGCTTGTGCGGGAGGTTGAGCGTTACCGACTAGATATAGTCGGCCTCACCTCCACGCACAGTTTGGGCTCTGGAACCCAACTCCTTGAGAGGGGCTGGACTCTCCATTTCTCTGGCGTTGGCCGCGGGGAGCGGCGGCGGGCTGGTGTGGGCCTGCTCATTGCCCCACAGCTCAGTCGCTGTGTGTTGGAGTTCACCCCGGTGAACGAGAGGGTCGCGTCCCTGCGCCTTCGGGTCGGGGACAGGTCTCTCACTGTGGTGTCGGCCTACGGGCCGAACAGCAGTGCAGAGTACCCGGCCTTCTTGGAGTCCTTGGGAGGGGTACTAGACAGTGCACCGACCGGGGACTCCGTTGTTCTCCTGGGGGACTTCAACGCCCACGTGGGCAACGACAGTGACACTTGGAGAGGGGTGATTGGGAGGAACGGCCTCCCTGATCTGAACCCGAGCGGTGTTTTGTTATTGGACTTCTGTGCTAGTCACAGTTTGTCCATAACAAACACCATGTTCGAGCACAAGGGTGTCCATAAGTGCACGTGGCACCAGGACACCCTAGGCCGGAGGTCGATGATCGACTTTGTAGTCGTGTCATCTGACCTCCGGTCCGCGTGTCTTGGACACTCGGGTGAAGAGAGGGGCTGAGCTGTCAACTGATCACCACCTGGTCGTGAGGTTGGGTTCGCTGGCGGAGGAGGAAGCCGGAAAGACCTGGCAGGCCCAAGCGTGTAGTGAGGGTCTGTTGGGAACGTCTGGCGGAGCCCTCTGTCAGAGGGACCTTCAACTCGCACCTCCGGGAGGACTTCTCCCGGATTCCGGGGGAGGCCGGAGATATGGAGTCCGAGTGGGCTTCATTCTCGGCCTCTATTGTCAATGCAGCTGCTCGGAGCTGTGGGCGTAAGGTCTGTGGTGCCTGTCGCGGCGGCAACCCCCGAACCCGGTGGTGGACACCGGAAGTAAGGGATGCTGTCAAGCTGAAGAAGGAGTCCTATCGGGCCTTGCTGGCTCGGGGGACTCCTGAGGCAGCTGACGGGTACCGGCGGGCCAAGCGTGCTGCAGCCCGTGTGGTCGCGGAGGCAAAAACTCGGAGCTGGGAGGAGTTCGGGGAGGCCATGGAGGAGGACTATTGGACGGCCTCAAAGAGATTCTGGCAAACCGTCCGGCGCCTCAGGAGGGGAAAGCAGTTCTTCACCAACACTGTTTACAGTGCGGGGGGAGAGCTGCTGACCTCGACTGGGGACGTTGTCCGGCGGTGGAAGGAATACTTTGAGGATCTCCTCAATCCCACCGTCACGTCCTCCGAGGAGGAGGCCGAGGCTGGGGACTCGGAGGCGGACTCATCCATCACCCTGGCCGAAGTCACTGAGGTGGTTGGCAAGCTCCTTGGTGGCAAGGCTCCGGGGTTGGATGAGATCCGCCCTGAGTACCTGAAGTCTCTGGATGTTGTGGGGCTGTCTTGGCTGACACGCCTCTTCAACATCGCGTGGCGGTCGGGGACAGTACCTCTGGACTGGCAAACCGGGGTGGTGGTCCCTCTGTATAAGAAGGGGGACCGGAGGGTGTGTTCCAACTATAGGGGGATCACACTCCTCAGCCTTCCCGGTAAGGTCTATTCCAGGGTACTGGAGAGGAGAATCGGCCGATAGTCGAACCTCGGATTCAGGAGGAGCAGTGTGGTTTTTCGTCCTGGCCGTGGAACACTGGACCAGCTCTACACTCTCCATCGGGTGCTCGAGGGTTCATGGGAGTTTGCCCAACCAGTCCACATGTGTTTTGTGGATCTGGAGAAGGCATTCGACCGTGTCCCTCGTGGTGTCCTGTGGGGGGCACTCTGGGAGTATGGGGTCCGGGGCCCTTTGCTAAGGGCTGTCCGGTCCCTGTATGACCGGAGCAGGAGCTGTGTTCGCATTGCCAGCAGTAAGTCAGACCTGTTCCCAGTGCATGTTGGACTCCGCCAGGGCTGCCCTTTGTCACCGGTTCTGTTCATTGTGTTTTATGGACAGAATTTCTAGGCGCAGTCAGGGGCCGGAGGGGGTCCGGTTTGGGGACCACAGGATTTCATCTCTGCTGTTTGCGGACGATGTTGTTCTGTTGGCTTCATCGAGCCAGGACCTGCAGTGTGCACTGGGGCGGTTTGCAGCCGAGTGTGAAGCGGCTGGGATGAAGATCAGCTCTTCCAAGTCCGAGGCCATGGTTCTCGACCGGAAAAAGGTGGCTTGCCCTCTCCGGGTGGGTGGAGAGTCCTTGCTTCAAGTGGAGGAGTTCAAGTATCTCGGGGTCTTGTTCACGAGTGAGGGAAGGACGGAACGTGAGATTGACAGGCGGATCGGTGCAGCTTCGGCAGTGATGCGGTCGCTGTATCGGACCGTTGTGGTGAAGAGGGAGCTGAGTCGAAAGGCGAAGCTCTCGATTTACCGGTCAGTCTTCGTTCCTACTCTCACCTATGGTCATGAGCTCTGGGTAGTGACCGAAAGGACGAGATCGCGGATACAAGCGCTCGAAATGAGTTTCCTCCGCAGGGTGGCTGGGCGCTCCCTTAGAGATAAGGTGAGGAGCTCAGTCACACGGGAGGAGCTTGGACTAGAGCCGCTGCTCCTCCACGTCGAGAGGAGCCAGTTGAGGTGGCTCGGGCATCTGTTCCGGATGCCTCCTGGGCGCCTCCCTCGGGAGGTGTTCTGGGCATGTCCCACCGGGAGGAGGCCACGGGGAAGACCCAGGACACGCTGGAGGGACTATGTCTCTCGGCTGGCCTGGGAACGCCTCGGGGTCCCCCCGGAGGAGCTGGAGGACGTGTCTGGGGTGAAGGAAGTCTGGGAGTCCCTGCTTAGGCTGCTGCCCCCGCGACCCGGCCCCGGATAAGCGGACGAAAATGGATGGATGGATGGATATTTCAAATCGATTCAATACAGGTCGATAAAAAATTATGGCTAAATCATGGCCCTGAAACTAAATAACTGAGTAAAATATACCAAAAAACATTTGATATATCAATACAGCAGCCCACGATATTGATACTGTATCATCACATTAACTGATACAATATATCGATATTTCACTATTTTTGCACACCCCTGTTCATTATGGATTAAAACTTTGCTCATGCTTTATTCATGCTAATTAATTAAGGTGTAGATATTATAAAACAGTACCAGTCTTGGAGGTGAAAGAAGGGCTTTTTCTCACTGCCAAAAACAAAATAAATCAGCCAAGTGTCTCTGGTGCATTTTCTCCTTGTCTTCCTGCTGTAGACACCTCTTTGGCAGGACACCAGCACACTATTTCCTGCCAAACCAAGCCATGTATCTGCACTCAAATGTCTTAAACCATTTAAAGCTACAATTGGAGTATTCTTCTCAAGTAAACTGAACTAAACATGTTAGTAGGCCTCTCACCATTTTAAATACGATATAATGGTGAAGAAAATATAGACAATAAACAATAATACTGAAACTAATTTGTCACCGACACAATAACCCTAAAATAGAATTATCCCCAAAAACTATTCTAAATATCATTAAAAACATGACATATAAAAGAAAAAATAACTGAATGAGACACTTATAATATTGACCCCTAAAATGCTTGTTTCATCTAACATATATTTAACGCTAAGTTGATATAGTTATCTATCCTGACAGGCCTACATGTTAGAGAATTTTTAAAGGGCCAGAAATGTTGTCAACCCAAAACCACTATTTCTTAATATAGAAGGGCACACCCAGTCAGACAGTGATCATGCCCAATAATGTACCAAAACACACACTTTCAAGCTTGATGATGCAGTTTGACTCAACCACACAGTCATTTTCAGTGACTGTTTACTTCCCTTGGACACATAACATTGCCAATTTGAAACAATTTAACATGTATTTATATAAAGAAAAGTAAAGTGGATGCAGTATTACATTTTCAAATTCTTAGTTTGTAGTATTATAGTATATTTTGTTTGCCATAATAGTTTTTTTTTTAATTCAAGCAAAAGTCATTCAAATGTTTTCTCAATTTTATTGTAAATTCTTTGTTTTAAGCAACACTGTAACAGAGTCTGATAATATCAGATTTATTACATAGAAAGCACTTTGTTATGTACAACATAATTACAAACATACAAATATAAACCTCTACAAATGCAAAATGTAATATTCAGTTATCAAAATCCCTTATACCACCTGCAGTCCTGAGTCTATAAAGTATCCACAGGAATGTTGCACAATACATAACCACTATTTATTTTGATACTGTACTATATATGATAGGGGAGTTGTCATGCAGCTCTAGTATCCACGCAGAATAAGATTAGTCAGTCCTTGTTTGGTGACTAATTTGGTCCTGACTGAAGTTGCACAATATAAAATTCAACAAAGTCAAAGGTAAAACAGTTCATTTCAGTCAGTCAGTCTATAAATGAAATACATGAGTAAATCTTTACATTTTAATTGTAATAATCAATTATTATTAACCAGTAGTATATAGGAATGGTATGTTTAAAGTGCCTATGACAGATTAGACTACTCATTCTTCCAAAACACAGTTAAGATCATCATTATAAAATGAAATTTCACTTTTTTTTCCCAGTTTGGCCAATGTGTTTAAATTTTACTTCTGGGTTGGAAATCATGACATCACACTAAGGAATTACTATTACCGTTACTGTTAACCTCGCAACCATGATGTACTCTGGGCCAAAACTCCTCTAATATACACTGATATTTTTATATGACAAATAAAAATACAAGAAAACATCTTTATTTTGTTGAAATAATGTTCAAAGTGTCTGAAAAATGTGTTTGTGTGTAAACTGTGACAGTATTCTCCCTAGTGTGATGCCATCAGTGTGGAACTCACCACTTCCTGTAATTTAACATATTTTTCAACTTTTCTTCTCAAATTGCTTCTTGACTGGTGTAAACTATAATTTATATTTACAACAGTTATTATTACACCAGATTAAGTCAAAATTAGATCATCTTAAAAACCTGTCATATCCACTTTAAAATTTTAATTGCAAATACCATAAACAAAGCTAAACGGTTGTTGTCACTTTATTAAAATAAAGATTGGCCTCATTAAAATTATATTAATCATTTTATGGCTCAAAAAAAACAAAAACAAAAAACATAGTGGTTATAAGTGTGGTGGCCTATTGACACTTTGCAGCTGATATCATCAACATTCCCTGGAGGTGCAAACTGTAGGCTCTGCTCTGTCTGAGGCTTTATTAGACTTTAATCTGTGCTTTATTTGAACACAATCTGACCATAAAGAACAGATTTAGCTGGAACTACAACAGGTGAGATTACTTTTTACTGTAAAATAAGTCTCTCACACATAAAGTGATAGTCACAAGCTTTTTGTTTGTTTTTCAGTTACTCAAATTCACAATTTATGATAAAAATCCTAAATAAAACCACGAATGCTTGTATTGATCACAGACTCCTGAGAATGTTATTTAAATCCATTTTGTAATTTTTCTTGAGTTTTCAGACATTCTTAATTTTTGACAGTGTTTGCTAATGTGTGCATTGTGCAACCATGGTAACTCAAACATTTCACCATTTGAGATACATGTAGAACACTCCCAGCATGATGTCACTGCAAAATCCCAATAGTGTATCAGTCTTAGTTATGTAAGTGCTGAAATGTATTACTACTAGAGTAAGTGCAAAAGGCTTTTGTTTGGTCATGATTAGTTCATACTTAAATGAGTATTTGTAAGTCTACAACAAAGTTCATAATAGTTTCCAGTCATTTAGAACATCAAATATTGACTCAGTTAGAGATGTTTGCATAACAAGATTCATAAGGCACACCACTGGCACTGGGAATCATTGCACTGGGTCAATTGTTCTAATAGCCTCACAAACCAATGCCCTCCACGTTACAGTTCAGCATCTCTGTAGGTTGTAGTTGTCCCAGGTGCAAGTGGAACTGCCCTGGCTTCTTTGTCTTCCAGCAACGAATATTCTGCCCCAGTTTGATGCTTTTTATACTGGGCAGGTGAGCAAGCATTTCATTTGGCAACGACACCAGTCCAGAGTTGGACAAATTCAGCTCTTGCAGTGAGTCTAGTCCAGTGAACACTTTAGGATCTAAGTTTTTAAGATATGGGTTGTTAGAAAGATCCAGAACTTGCAGGCTTTGTAGACCTTTGAAAGCAAATGGTTCAATGTCCTCGAGGTCTTTGCTGCCACTGATGGACAAATAAACCAAATCTTCTAACTGTGAAAATGCTCCTTCTTTAATGCTTTTTATAGGGTTTGCGTCAATATTAAGGTACCGCAATGGTAGTCCAGACAACTTTGGGACACTTGTGAAGAGATTGGCAGTCAAGTTCAAGCTTTGAATATGCAACATTTTTCCATGCGAGACTGTTGACATTGTTGTAAGTTTATTATTAGACAAATCCACAGTCACTGGTTCCCCATTTACTTTGGTCGCAAACACGTTCATGTCAAAATCTGCAAAGTTGTTGTAGCTTAGATCCACCTCGGATAGTGGGAGGCCAGAGAAGAAATCCGGTTCCAGCGCTGCCAGACTGTTATGGCTCAGATCCAAAGACTCCAGATAGCGCAGCCTGGACAAAGCATTAGGGCTTACCTGCGAACGATAAGACAATTACAAAGTAGGTAAAGGGTTTATCAAGATCTTGAACCTGCATGTAAAAGAAACAGGTGAGAGGTAGAAGATAAGAAACTACACAGAGGCCAAAAAAGTAGTAAGACATATTATGTAATGTAATAAATGTTGATTGATTTAAAACTGGATTTGCATACAACTCAGTTACCTTTTCCCTAGTCATGATTGAAGTTAATGTTGTATTCAAATGGCAAAATCAATATTAAAAGTAATCAAGAATTAGTTGGCAAGTAATAGTTGTGTGTCTCCAGTGCTCTGGGAACTGTTAATATAATCACAGCATTACATATCATGACAGGTTCGTCAAGGTAGAAACCAAAACATACTGACATAACTTTCACACAAATGAAAACGTGTAATTTAAATGGCTGCTATTATACATAACAAAATATCTAATCTCCAAGGACCTTAGTAACAATATAAACCAGTTAATGCAGTTGTTCATCTCTCTAACATGTTCTGAATTGCTTGTTTTTCCTCAACAGGTTATGCAATAATATTAATGCTTCTAGACATTGTAAACTAAATCATTACAATTGCACAAAGCTGCACTGTAAAAGCCAGATTAATAAGAACTCTGACTGCAACTGTGACTAACTGACTGACGAAATACAACAAAATTCAGTTTAGGTATTTCCAGTATTAGAATATATACAGCACTGGCTTTGTAATACCAGTACTTGAATGATAGTTTTATTACTTTAACAAGTACGTAAAAAGTAAGTAATTAATTCATAACCTTTATAAATAAAAATGACTATATTTTTGTGAAACCAGTAAATAAACATTAAAAAATCCATTTGTGCAGAGCTGCCAAGTAACTATATATAGCTTTCTACATAGCATAAATAATAATATGGTTCCTGTGAGAATATTCTATTTTGGCAAGTTTGTCATATTCAGTAATTCTCAATTCAAAGCAGCTCTGTGCTCAACACTTTTTCTAATCCACTTCTCCTATTGGTCAAGCTCTATCATGCATTACTGAGTGACAGATGGCTTTAACCAATCACAGAGAAGTGTGAATTCTTAAAAGAACCAAATGGCTTTAATTCCCTTCTACATCCAGTATAATTAGTATACATGAATAACAAAATAAAATCAAAATTGTGATCTAGACTGTAAAAAAACATGAACTTCTTATTTGGTCCCCCAACAGTTAAGTGTGTTACTGTTACGTACTGTTGTAATGTGGTTGTTGCTGAGGTCTAAGCTAACCAGCGTTGTGTACCCCGGGCCGGACAGCATGGAGTCAGTGAGGGGTCCCATGATGGAGATGTAGGACAGGTCCAGGTGGGCAGTGTCCAGGGGGATGGGGACAGGCATGGTGGTCCCACGGTCCAGCCCACTGCAGTCCACTCTGGTCAGACTGAAGCTGTCGAACAGGCCGAAGCTCTCCACCTCACAGCGGCAGCCTGGGTGACAGTTCTGAACCGTGCTGGACTGGACCAAAGCCAACGAGGAAACAGCAATCCACAACACGAGAAGCATCATCGCCTGTGGGAAGAAAGAGTGCTATTACCGGTGATAACTTTATAACTACAGGGATGTTAATATTTTATAATTACAAGAATATCACATTTAAATGGAGCTAGAGTAAATTCAGCCTGGAAGAACCAACTTTGCTCCAGTTTAGGTGCTCCTTAGCCTTCAACACCTCACTCCAAATACTCCTCCCCACTGCTCGTCGCACCACCTCCTGTCCAATCAGAGTCCAGTCTGCCCAATTTAAACCCACATTACAGATACATGGCTGCTTTGGTTTGTGCCACACCCCACAACCTCCCCATCACTGCCTCAGCTTCTGATCGTTCCTTTCACTCTCTTCAGCCTCACCTCTACCACCTCCAGTGTCCAGGCTCCGTGGGGAAGACATCTCCTAAACTGAATTTATTCTAAAAAATCGAATCGACCACACCCTTTATCGCAATGTCTTCTGCCTAGGTCTGGGCGCCAAAGCAAACTCAATAAAACTACTAATAATTTCTCTTTGTGTCTGTCTGAATCTCTCCAGTTGAATTGTGATTCATTTAAAAAGGTACACACAGCAGGATAGGAAAATAACTCTAACCCCAAGTCACACTCCTATCAAGTTAAAATAGTAATAAACGAACATAGTAGGCTTTACACAAAATCTAGAAGTATAAACTAGGTCAATCTGAATGCATTTACTTTAGGACTACAATGATCTTAAAGAAATAGTTACCTTAATGTTTAGTTTGAACTTATTTTAAATATTTTTAAAATACTTTGAGTATTTTCATGAATCCATAATTGTGTAATTGAAATGCAATGTAAAGGTAAAAAATATAGATTGTTTTCTCCCTGTTAGCATAACTGAGTCAAAAATGTTTCTATGAATGTAAGTGTGTTGTAAGTGAACCACAGACAAACTAGAACTTGAAAAAAGAAAAAGTTTGTGGGTTGGACATTGGTTAAAATGAACATTGTTCCAGAGTCTAACAGACAAGCAGATTGTTGTGAAAGTTTAAAATTGCTAATGTTTTACAGGTACGACATAAAATTATTTGGAGGCTTAACAAAAACACTGTTTTCCATTTGTAATCCACAGCTTGTACATGAAAAACTAGCATCGCCTAAATGCTTTAGTGTAACATGAGCAGACCTAGTTCTTACAGTTTTAGTCTGTACTCTGACTTCCCAATGGGTGTGACCCAATTTCTTTAATCAAAGCGTTCATTTGCACTGTTTTAGTTGCTTAGTTGTTCTTGGAAAAATGCTGTGTAGTATCAAAGAGGCACTTCTTTTCTTGGGGCACATAATTTAACAATACAAGACAAAGTAAAACTGTTAGACTGACATTTCACAGCAATATCATCAATCTTTCACCAAAAATAAGAAATTAGAGGAAGATATTGTGCAAGAAAAAAAAATCTCACATCAGCTAGGTTTTTTCATTGTCGATGGTAATCTGCAGATATTTTTAGGCTGATATGTGGGGCCGATTTTGAACATTTTCCTCAAATTATGTAATTTCAATTTACTACAAACTCACCCACATTCCTTTTTACCGCAAACCTATAAGAAAGATTTTGTAGTTATGTTTTCAGCAGTTATCTCGTCACACTAAAGTTTTCAAATAAAGTTTGTGTGTATTTTTTAGGCAGCAGATCGACCAAAACAAAATATTAGACAGTGCTGGACATTTCAGGCCATAGCCAGTGTGCTAAGAAGTCAAAATTTCAGTCCAATATATCTCTAGACCTAATCTTGCAATAAACTACAATTCAAGTCAATAAATGAAAGCATGGTGCCAATAATCTACTCACTTCAAGTAAAATAACAAAATATTTACCTCACTTTCTAGATAAAAATAAAGGCAAACAAATAGATAGCATTTCCAAGTACAGTTTACACATAAAGGTCTCAGAAGGTTGAGATGACCCAAGGATGACACAGCAAATATGAGCCCTACACAACAGTGTGACTACAATTAATCTCATCATACCTTTAGCAGGCTATGACGTGAATAATCATCTTTGTATCACTTTGTTTAAACTTGTTCAAGAAGAACTTTATAAGCTTTTTAAACATGCGTTGTTAAATGCAGGTCATTGTTGATTGCATGCGAGTTCACTCTGTTTGGATAATGCTGCTATCAGAGCTGTAACAAAGGTTAGGCTTTAGTTATGCAAGACAAGGCAAAAGTAACAGACTTTCATGACCCGTTAGCAAACGCAGGCTAAGTACACGTCTCAAAGTTCAACAGTGTGCAAAGATCTCAGTGTAAAGTTCAACATCTGTCAACTTGCTTTTGAATTTTTTTTTTTACATGATGGTCCACAAGTTATTGGGTCATTGTATGTTAACAAGATACTTCACCAACCTTCACTGGTATGAAAGTGGTGTGTGAGAGGTTGGTGGTGATAGTAGGTGCTGGGAAGAGGTCAGACTGTAGCCATTTCCATCAAATAAACAACAGTGTGAAGCACAGGCCGATCTGAATTTCCTGAGGTTACTTCTTGTTGTGAGGCAGGAGTGTTAATCAGTACTTTGCATGTTGTCAGTGCACACCGAGTACTTTATGTTTGAAGTTTTCTGACACCTATTAACAGTAGGGATGCACCGGTCCAGTTTTTTCACTTCCAATGCCAATTCCAATAATACAGCTTTAGTATCTGCCAATAACCAATGTAAACTGATACTGGTGCAGAGACAGAAAACAGCATGTATTGCCTTTAAACAAAAATTACTCAGGACAAAACTGATCCAAATGCGTTATGCAACTGTTATTTATCCAAGTAACCACCAATATCCGATCTAGCTAATGTTTCAGTATTGGCACCAATATCAAATACCAGTATCATACCAGTGAATCCCTAATTAAAAGGACAATTTTTTTTTTTTCATTTTTGGTGTTGATTCAGATCACTATTAGATGCCCTGTGTTTCAAGCAGCTATTTGCAATTGAATAGTTTGATACAAAAAATAAATGAGTCAATGGAATACTTGTACCCCAAAGAGTATATACTCCAGTGCCATTGCAGACGACACAGAGGCTTTGTTTTATTTATTTAGTTGAACACTACTTATTCCCTACAAGTACCTACTGCATGTCTTTCCATATTGTAAACATCCAAAGTCCTGCTACCAAACCACACCGTAAGTAGACTAAACATGAGAAAACCAGTGAAAACAAAAGCTGTTCCATGTTTTTACAAGTCTACAAGGTGGTCATCAGACTCTCATCGTCTTGTTTCTTCCGCTCCTCTGAATTTGTACCTCCATCTGTGGCTTCACTGACGGCCGTGAACTCTTGAGACCAGGTGGTGCTTCCAGACTTCCAGTAATAAATCTCATCTAATAACAACTCCTTGTCAACAGCATCTCCCTTCAAATCTGTCATAACTAGGCCTGTCATGATAATACATTTTGAAGTGCGATATATTGCTGAAGTAAATATAGATGATAAATGATAATACTGAAACAAATTTATGCCACTGACAAAATAACCCATGAGCAGATTTAAGTCACCACAACAAGTACAATATTATTAAAAAAAAATTCATGAGCTGCAATAAATAAATAGCAGAATGAAACACAACAGTACTTAGTTTGCATCTGTAATGAGTCACAGAAGTTATTCAACCTTATACGGCTTAAATTTGATCAAAAAGCTGTAGCTGAGCCTAAAGGTAAAACTCTCACTTGACAAAGGTTTGTGAAATTACGCCCTGACTCCTTCTCACTTTAACGTTTATTTTCACACAATGTTGTCATGGGAAATCTTGAGCCAGCTTTCATTGCATCAGACGAGATTTTTACACTTCTAATTAGGCTAATAAATTGCTATTTAGGCTACGTCCCAGTGCCATTGTCACCACTCTTTACTTCAAAGCACAAAGCTGAAAGTGGTACCACAATAATCCCTTTAAACCACATAAAGAAAGTGACTGGGAGTTTAATTAAAGTGGAGGCCCTTCAGGGGTTTAAAAAATTAGGCAGAACCAGAGCTGAAGTTTTGTTTTTTTTTGTGAGTAAATACACAAAGTTAATTGTGTATGGTTTTGTACAATGTTTATGTTAGGGTTAGTCATTTACTTGACAAAAAAAAGGCATGGTCTTTTTTTTTTTCTAAACTAGGGTATCTCGCTTTCATAATCAACGAATGCAAAAGAAATGCTCAAAAGCTTAGAAGATAAAACTAAATAGTGAACTTACTTCCCTCTACTAGCCTTCTACTAACTTGTAGCAGTATATAACAATTTCATATTTGAGAGATGCATAAAGAGATAAAAGGTAACTCTCATAATTCCTACAATAGGCTATATTAAAACTGGTATAACAACTTGTAGGTCTATATTCACTTAAATTTAATATATCTCCATAATAACACTTGCAATGTGAATTTGTTAACATATTAACAATAATTCTGGATATTAAATAGAAGAACTCTGATGCAAACTCTGAAATGTGCTTTCAATTTGTTGCATCTGTCAGTGTTACCGCCTACATCTGTTAATCATCTGAAAATGTGCAATGAACAAAACCACAAACTCCTGTCATAGTCTGGGAACTTTATACTTACATAGAAATCACCGCAAAAATCACATTTATTCCAGTGATGCTTGTGAAGCGCCGCAAATCAAAACACTGACCACATAAAAGCTTCGCCTACTGATCTTTAGTTTACCAACCCCGCCCCTCTGTCTGCTGTCAGTCAAATCTTCACGTGTTGAATTACTTAACACCAGTTTTCGCACTGGTTTTAGTTATAATGACAGAACTCTGGTCAGTTCAACGAGGACAGTCCAGGGGCGGTTTCTTAAACACAAGGCAAAAGTGAAATTTGATCTGACCACAGAAGAGGTCCGGGCTCTTGCTTTCTCCTATCCCAAACCACAAGATAACCAAGATTTGCAGGTTAAACGGCTCATTAAAAATGCATTCAATTATCGTTTCTACTATTTCTTATATATTCACAAGTCTTACTTTGAGTTTGCACTTACTTTGGAGACTTTGGTCCAAACTCGCCACATTTTCGGGGATTTTCACTTCACTGCTCCCATTTTCCCAAAGCCCGCGCAGACAGCAGCTCCTCGCTCCCGCTGAGAATGCACTCTGTCTCGGGCTACATGAGTTTATGGCCCGCGGTCTGTCCGTCTCATTCACCGCATTAAACTCCACCACAAGAGCTGTGTCTGCTGCTGGAAACACTGGGACACATTTCGTCTGGCCCCATCCCATAAAGTCCCGTCTGCTGCTGGCTTCAGTTTGGCACGTGTAAAGTTTGCTTCTCTCGCATCAAAATTACATCACTTCCGGTTAAAGTTAAGAGCTTTATATAGTTTATTTTTGGTAATGGTTTATTCGTTTGAAAACCACAAATTCACCGGAAAATAGGTCATTGAAGTAGTTTAAACTAATCATGAGAAATATGGTGTAATTTCACGTGGTTAGTTTATCTTAAATCTAATATCAAATGCAAGTCACTTTTAAAAGATCATTGTAACTTGGATAACTTAGCTAATTAGTTTTCAATATGCATCTTGTTAGTTGCATGCATGAAAATATCTGAATAGTATGTCGGTCTTATAGCAGACACTATATTTCGATATATAATAGTTTCATTAACATAAAATGTAAGTTTATTTATTGCACCATCGGATTTGTATTTTGAAAACCTCAGACAAGCAACTTCCGGAGTCTGTCTTGCACTTTTGAGCGTCCTCTTCTGGCTGCTTAAGGATCGGAAATCCCAGAGGAAAAGTTTTGTATTTGCGAAACAAGGCGGTGGTTTGTTTGATTTGGCGTCTGGATAAATCCGTTAAAACATTATGTAAAAAGGAAACACTGAAGTTTCCTGTTGATGCTTACGTGCAAAAGAGCTTGTGATGGTCCAACAAGATACTACAGGCCCATGCGCTTACTACATGCAAGAAAGTATTGGGATGTGTTGAAACTAGCCTTAAGAAATGCTCACGTTTGAACCCCATAAAGTAAAAGTGCGACTTGCAGATTTGATATGATGTCATAATTACATTGGTTATAATTGTTGTTATTGCATGATTTGATAGGGCTAATGGCAAATTAGAACAACTAGTTTTTAGAGGGATAACGCCAACCTTTTTATTTTTAATTTACAAATATAAAAAGCAATTTCATACCACAATTACATATTGTATTGATTATTGTTATTGTTAGACATTGTTTCTTTAAAATTTCAGTTTCAAAAAGTAAAGCAGTAGTAGTAATAGTAGTAATCAATATTATTAATTGTCAATTTTGTTGTTACCAAGAATATCCACTAGATGGTCCCAGTGCGTAAGAATATGTGATACTCTCACAATATAATCTTTAACTATATCTATCTAACTAATCTCTAACTATATATATATATATATATATATATATATATATATATATATATATATATATATATATATATATATATATATATATATATATATACTGTAATTTCTTACATTTTATATACATTTTGTAGCCATTAAGGTGTCAATATATTCAGGCCTGTATGAGTCTGTTTCCTCATTTCATGCTTTCATTTTAATGAGATATCCCCAAAAACTGGGGGCCTGAAATATTTTGGATGTCTTTATGCATACTAATGTACTGTTGTATTTATTTCATGTTGTGTGCTTTATCCATAAAACCACATCATTATCAATATACCTGGAATTTCAACTCACTGCATAGCGTGCGCTGATTCATCATTTGTGGCTCTATTCCTGGAGCAGGACAGTGGTTTCAAGGTGTTACTTTAAGAGGCTCAACAGCTTATCTGGGATATAGGTCAACAAAGGTGCAGGCACTGTCTCGAGACATACAAAATATTAATTAATTTACATTTTATTACTAATGATAATTAATCTTTGAATTAATATTTACATTTCTCTTTGATTTCAGGATGATGATGCTTTCTACATAAAAAAAAAAGACATTCAAAAAATAAGACAGCCAGACAGAAGAAAACACGTGACGGGTGAACTTGTATGTCTGTCTCTCACTCTACCCCCTCCTCCCCATCCTGTACCTCTAGTTTTATTATTACTAACTGACCTATGATCTATTCTTGCTTTATTTAAGGAAGATATTATTATTATAATAAACCATTTTTGCCTTCTTGTCTTTGATTTTGTAAATAATGTCAAAACAAAAACAATCAGCCAACATAATGATTGGTTCACATTTCAATGTTGTGGAAACTGTTGTGGCTGCTTGGCTGGTTGCGTCTTTTCAGAAAAAGCAGAAATGACTGACGCAGGAAAACCATAGTTGAACCTGTGGGACCTCAAAGGAGAGCCCTTCGTTATCTCTAATTACTCCCTCTCCACTGGGGTTCAAATTAAATTAATCTTCTAGACCTGCACTGCTAACATGCTGCAGCAATTAAAACAGGTGACTGAACAATGTGGCACTGTCTCTACGGCAAAACAAGTGACCTTAACTACACCTGGAAATCTCAATGCTGAAATTTGAAAACTTTAGTCTGATATATTTGACTCACTCACTTTTAGAGCTGCCACTAGAAAATAACTTCTTACAAATATTGACATTGTAGCCTTTTCGTAAGGAAGTTTAGTAAGTTCATCTTGATAGAAAACAAATTTTACATAAGGTTTTTGTGGGATCATTTTGGAGATCATACCTCTAAATAAAAAAGTAGAAAATAGTAGATAAATTAGCTTGTAATTTTTCCAGTAAACATGAAGTGACTGAAGGGTTGTGGCCTCAGCGCAGCCTCTGTTGCCTGCATAATAATAAAGGTTTTAGAGTAGACTAAGGCCTGTTGTCAATCCTCTTATTTTGTGCTGCAGTGAAAATGGATTAGCGAGTAGCACCTACATTTTGGCCCCAGGTCACTTTGTAAAGATTTGCCTGACTGGGCCTTGAGCAGACACTTTCACCTTTATTTAAGTTTCACTTCTTAAATTTTCACTTTTTCTTGTGTCATTGGAGTCTTGTATGTTAGCTAACTCCTGTGATTCTTCAGGTATGGTGCGCTGCTTGAGGGGCCCACAGGAGCTGCACAGAGGAGGTGACTAAGTAGCTCTCCAGGGTGCTGAAAACGCAACCAAGGCAGCTGTCCAGGGCTTCACCTGTCACTCTCCTTCGGGCCAACATTAAAACAATGGCCTTTCAGAAAGAACAGCAAAAGTTGATAAGGTGATGTTGATACAGAGAGGGACACATGCAGAACTGGACTGATATAACATGAAATGGTAAGTACTATTTTGTGTTTTTTATACAGATATTTTCCTCCTTTTATAAATACAAATTTTCTTGACAAGATCTATTGACTTCAGCTGTGAACAAAATGTTTCACTAGCTTTAACACACTGGAAGTACAATGCAACAAATTCCTCCAAACTTCAAATGGCCGCTATGGGAGACCAGCCAGCCATGTCCTCCAATAATTAAAACAAGAACTACTTTCTCAAATTTCCCAGTTTATAACTTCCCGCTATGGATCCTACTTGGAGTATTGACTTTCCCTTGTTGCGTGCACTGTTTAATTTTCAAAGTTGGAGTTTTAGGGCCTTGGAACTGCGATCCAATTTATTACAAGGCGTATCCTACTGCAGCTGCCAGACTGGCTATAAGCAGGATCAATGGCGATCCCAGTCTAGACTTGGGCCTAACCATGGAGTTTATCATCTTGCAAGAACCATGTGAAACGTCAAAAGCCCTAACTGCATTTATTTATTATGAAGAACAAGCTGATGCATTTGTAGGACCCACCACCCCTGGATATTGTACAGCGGCGTCACTTTTGGCCAAAAACTGGGAAAAGGCTCTCTTCTCATATGGATGCATAAACTACGAACTGGATAGAGCAACTGGATACCCAACTTTTGCCAGGACTCTGCCTGTAGCCACCGATGTGTTGTTCACTGTGTTCAAACACTTCAGGTGGGCTAATATTGCAGTGGTTTCTTCAAATGAGGACATCTGGATGGACTCTGCAGGAAGAGTGGCCACAGCTTTGAGGAACAGAGGGCTCCCTGTGGGTCTGGTGGCCTCTGTGGGCAATGAGACAGAGATGGAGGGTACACTGAAGAAGATTGAGAATACACCAGAGATTAGAGGTGAGTTTGAATATTCGGCCAGTCACGATTACTATATTGAGTTATTGTTCAGTGTACGGTAGATGGAACAATTCCATGTGCGTTTTCAGAGGTCAGTATTTATTGTGGGGACTTTTTCTTTGTAGTGGTGAACTTTTTGTTATTTTTTTGTTTTATGATCAGATTTGAGCTCTAGAGGGCTGAAGAAATAACGTCTCCCACTCACTATAGGTTAAAAAATATCCATATTGGACATTTAAAATATTTTTTGGAAAGGACTTTAGATTTATTGTGTCAGTAGTAAAAATTACTCTCAGTATTATTGTTTATTGTCTATATTTTCTTCAGCAATATATCATACTTAAAATGTTTTATTTCAATCATGATTGTTATCATCCTATTGAATATAAGCATAAAGCATACATGTAGCTATTTGTTGTATAATAGTATGTGTAGTTTTGTTATTGTGGCAGCCTTCTAAAATGATTTTTAAAAATCTCAAGCAGATCTCAAAAAAATCACAATTAGATTATAAGTTTATATGAAATGTTACAAAAACAACTTTTATTTTATTTGAACAAATTTCCTATAAAATATTATTGGCTGCTTTTGCTAGCCTGTTTGAGAATTACTTTTTCCAGTCCTAAGTTTTATTAGACAGGCCATAGTAAGTGTGAAATGTGTGAGGAGTAGGAGAGACCAAATTACACTGTGAGGTCTGCACAGAGCCTCCTATTTCATAGTATTTTGAAAATCATCATTTGCAGTGCACTTTGTCCACATTTTAGATCTAGTTGAACTGTAGTTAGCAATCCATCAGTGTGCTCATTGTGGTAGGGTTAAAGGTGCACAATGCAACATTTCCACCAATCAGGTGATTCCACAGGTGACATGGTCAGATCTGTGTAGAACTAAACCTGCTTATAGTAAGAATGTTTTTCAAGGTATTTTTGAGCAATAAAAACATGTCAAATTGAATAAATGCATGGTCAGTTTAATGCAATAGTATGTAACAATCCAGGAAAGCAATAAAATCTCCATGGAGACAAGCAGATTGCGAACCCCACTACCTGAAAAGTTACACAGTACACCTTTAAGCTTGAACTGTTTTGCTTCATATGTTTTTCCGTTTGTGCTGTAGTGATCATCATGTGCATGCACTCGGTGTTGATTGGAGGAGAGCAGCAGGCCACTTTTCTGCTCGCTGCTCATGAGAGAGGTTTTACGGCTGGAAAGTACGTCTTTGTTCCCTATGACACCCTGTATTACAGCGTGCCCCACAACGTCACATACTTCGCCCTGAAAAACAACAGTCGGCTGAGAGAAGCCTATGACGCCGTGCTTACTGTTACCATGGTGTCAGACCCCCTGTCTTTTCGTGAGGCATTTAATGCTGCAAAAATGTCCCAGGAAGTGACACTAACCGTGATGCCAGAGCAGGTAGGGATTATTTATATATGCATGTAGTAGTCAGAGATAGCATCTAGTGTAAACACTTAAATATAAGGTATGTAAAATACTATAACTCACTATATTAAAAGTACAGTTTTTATTGCTTAAACACTGAGTGAACTGCTAAGAACTAAAACAAAAAAATCTATTCTCACTCATGTGTGTATAGACCTAACTGTTTTATGTATTATGCAACTCTTTAAATCATGAACATATTCATACATTTGTTATATTGAATATGCACAATACACTTAGCTAAAGATAAAGCTTGGCTGATATTTGCACCTTTTAGTGTATTGACTATCGGCCTTAAAGCTGCAAGACAGGCTGATATTTTATTTTGGCTGACCTCATGCCTAAAAATACCCATAAAGCTTTATTTGAACACTTCAGTGCAAAGAAATAACCTCATTACATGTGACTATGCAACTCTCTTCTAGGTTTGTGGGGTAAAAAGGACTGTGTGTGAGTTTGTAGTAAATTTTAATTAGATAATTTGAGGAAAATAATCAAAACCGCTCCTACATGTCATCACAAAAATATTGGCAGAGCTTAACGGGTTCTTTTGATTCTAAACAATTGGTATTGGCATCAGCTATACATGACATAATATTTGTCACTAAACAGCAATACTTTAAAATCAAGTAATGTTTTCTTTAGCTTTCTACTCACTTAATAATAATATTTAGCAGTTGTAATATTTCCTTGTCTATCATGCATGGATGTATACTTCTTTTTAAAAAAAAACCTGAGCCACACTGTTTTGTATATCAAATCTTGAATTAATTTAGGTAATTAAAAAAATAAAAATCTTAAAAAATTTACAATTGTAATTTTTTTTTTGTCTGAATTTTACAACATGTTTATTTGTTGTCCAGGTAAACCCTCTGTTTGGGACCATCTATAATAGCCTCTACCTTCTGGCCAAATCCATCCACAGTGCCCGGAGAGCAGGCATGACACTATCCGGCTCTAATCTGGCTTATTTCACCAGAAACACTGTCTTCAATGGATTTAACCAAAAATATCTTGTCGACAAGACCGGGGAAGTCAAAACCAACTATATCATACTGGACACTGACAAAGGCTATACTCTGTACCAAACCTATCTCGTGGATCTTCAGTCTTCTAAACTACGATTTGCTGGAAAGTCAATTTTTTTCCCTGGAGGAGGACCACCACCGTCAGATTCAATCTGCTGGTTTGACCCCCTTATTCCCTGTACTGGAGGTAAATTTGTAGCATGTATACTAGTTGTTTGCATGACTTTGAATGCTTAAAATAATGCAAATTTTATTGAGAACTGAGATAGCATTTTGTTTGTTTTTATAGGCGTGCAAGTGACATACATCATCATTGTTTTTGTTGTCACCTTTTCACTGGGTCTTGCGGCTCTTGGAATAAGTTTATACATAAGGTATTTTTGGGGGATTTTGGCCATAGGGAGTCACTATACAATATCAGACTCAGAAAGAAGTTCATTGCCAGTGAAAGTGAACAAAAATAATTAACTAGCTTGCTTCCTTTGATGATATGCAGTTTCTGTTGTAATTGCGAATAGTGGAAAGCACAATATATATACAGTAGGCCCAGCACAAGAGTTAGAAACAAACTGAATGCATTGTGAAACAGTTTGACACTGATAAAATTTGTAATGTAAGATCCCTGTCCTTTCTTCAAACTATTAAAATATAACTTTTACAACAAATACAATTTACAAAGCTTTTATTTGTTAAGAAGTCTGTATAATCCATATGTAATCCTTCTATTGTTATTTATTAAGGATATTCCACTATTGTCAGTCACATATTTATTTAATTTAGATTTTTTTTAATGCATGGTTTTCAAGTTGTGATTCTTTGAAAACATTAGACATGTTATAATTCATAGGAGGAGGCTTCACCAAATTCAGCTGATTAAAGGACCCAATAGGATCGTTTTGACACTGGAAGATCTAACTTTTATTAACCCCCAACTGAGCAGAAAGGTCAGTCATTACTTTTAAAGACTTTTTAAAGGGCCTATATTATGCTATTTTCTGATCTGTGTTATAATGTTGTTTCTTCATCACAAACATGCCTGGAGTTGTATTTCATTTACACGTTTAACACACAAATCTTGCACATTTAGGCTGTGTATTTCTCTCAAACAGAAAGCACTCCATGCAATGTCATGTGGTAATGCAGGAAGTGCTCCAAGGTGTTTTTAAAGTCCATACACCTTCACTAGAATCATTTGGAGCATTTCAGCCCGGGAATTACTAATTTCCATTGAACTACTAGTAAAGGTAAAAGGTAGCTCTTAACTTGAAAACCACCATTTTGTGATATCATAAAGTGGAAGAGAGCATTTTGAGCTTTGTAGAAATAGACATCTTAATAATGCACTATTACTATTACTTAAAGGTGTGAATAAAAAAGAAAAAAAACACACAACTCCAGGTGTGTTTTTGAGAAGGTGACAACATTATAACACGTCTTAAAGCTCACAAGAGTAAATTTTGCATAAAATAGGACATTTAAAATAAAAATACCACAAATGCTTTAAGTTTACAAAATCTCAGTTTTATTTATTGTGATCTACAGAAAATAACCTTGGAAGATCTGAGTGAGTCTAAAAGTGCAATAGAAGACAAGTCACAAGATCGCTCCCACTCTCTGAACAGCATGCAGACAGCCACTCACGAGACCACCAATGTCGCTGTTTATGAGGTAGACTTAAACAAAGCGTGATCAATGATATTTAAATCCACTCTCAATCAGTCCACTTTAATTTTATATCTAAACACATTTGCCTTTCAGGGTGATTGGGTGTGGCTAAAGAAATTTGAAGATGGACAGTTTAAAGAAGTGAAGCAGCAAACCACCAAGATTTTCACAAAGGTGTACACCATAGTTCTTATATGTAAATAGACATAACTAACTTACTAGCGCATCATGTTCCAAATAGGAAGTGAAGGTGCTTCTGGCTCCATCGACACTGTTTCAGTGAGCCTCGTCATTATGGTCTTAAAATGTTCGTATTAACCCACTCTATATGATTCTGGTGTTTTTATCCCACTATTTTGTACACAAATAAATTCCTAGAACTGGCTCCAAATTCACTCCTATAACTGCAAGCTTCATGAGCTTCATTTGACTGGAGCCAAATGGTATATGGGTAACGTCACATGCCTTTAGTCCACTTCTTTATACAGTCTTTGATATACATTAATTATATGCATTTGATTAGCCATTTCTTTGATGTTTAATATTTAAAAAATCCAGTTACTTTTCCTGACTTTATAGCATAATGGATCCTTAACATGTTTGATTGTTATGATAATATTTTTTTCTTCATATTTCCAGATGAAGGACCTCCGAAATGAGAACGTGAACCCTTTCTTGGGCTTCTTCCAGGACATTTCGATGGTTGCTGTGGTGACGGAGCACTGTTCCAGGGGCAGTCTGCAGGATCTGCTCAGGAATGAGGATGTGAAGCTGGACTGGATGTTCAAGTCCTCACTCGTATTGGACCTCATCAAAGTATGAAAAACGAAGATTTCTGCCATTAGGATTAGATTTTTTTCTGATTCAAACAAATAAATAGGGTCTCAGCTTGAACAATAAATTTCAACTACAGTGCCATTTAATGCATGAAATTAAAATTTATTCTTCCAGAAAGCTCTTACCAATGTGTTTTTACCATCACAGGATTTGTTGTAAACTCAAAGACTTAAAATTCAATTAATTCCACAGCTCTAATTAGAGTGTTCTCCATTGGTCCTCAGACTTTTTCTACAAATTGTCATGTTATTAGTTATAAGGGAAGTAAGGCAAATACAACAGATACCCGAACTAAACAAAATCCTAAACTACAATCCTAAACTACAGATTTAAAATGGGATTATAAAGAGTAAATACCACTCAGTTGAACCAGTGGCACCCCAACCCTCATGTTTAGTGTCGCTTTTAAGTCGCTTGTATGACCCCCTGACTAACTACTTCTGACAATGTTGTGCTTCATTAACAACAATATTTGCATTCCAGGGGATGAAATACCTCCACCACAGAGATTTTCCTCATGGGAGGCTGAAATCTCGTAACTGTGTGGTCGATGGTCGCTTCGTCCTCAAAATCACAGACTATGGTTTTAATGAATTACTGGAGTCACAGAAAGCCCCGTATGAAGAACCACCACCTGAGGGTAACATACATTTGATTTATTGCTGTATTATTATTATTACCCAACTGTAGGGAGCATCTATATTATACTGTTTATTCTGTACTATAATATAATTTAAACAAGGTTGTTTTACTTTACTTGTCCACCCAGAGTTGTTTTGGACTGCTCCAGAGCTCCTCAGAGACCATTTAAGTTCGCGCAGAGGCACTTATAAAGGAGATGTGTACAGTTTTGCCATTATCCTCCAGGAAGTGGTGGTCCGAGGACCTCCATACTGCATGCTTGGACTACCACCTCAAGGTTATATAGGATATATTGATACAGGATTTTCAAACTAGACATGTGATAATTTCTTATTGTTAATTTGTTTTAATATAATATGTACTGTAGTGTCACCATAGACTGTTTAAAAAAAGTATATATATAGTCTATGAGAGTCACTGATGTGTTTTATGAGTCATGGTAATGATTGTTGCCTCCTACTACTGCCATAATTTCAACTAATATTTACTTCTGATTGAATGACGAGCTTAAACAGAACCCTAACCATGTGACCTAATATTTTAATATCTTGATTTCAGAGATCATCCGTAAAGTGAAGAAGCCCCCTCCGATGTGCCGTCCCACCGTAGCCCCTGACCAGGCCCCTCTGGAGTGTATCCAACTCATGAAACAGTGTTGGAGCGAGCAGCCTGACCGCAGGCCCAACTTTGATGAGATTTTTGACAGGGTAAGTTTGAGTTTGTGTAAAAGTAACAGTTGTATAATAAACTATTACTACTAAAATACTAGAATCAGTATTACTCTCACCCAGGAAGTGCAATTTTTATCGAATTGAGATCCACTATTATATATGTAAAGGTATGTGTTTTAGAGCAGAGTTGTAACTTGGGAGGAATATTTTTTCTGTGTGTAAAATGGAAATTAATATTTTAAAAAAGAAATTTCCTTTGGTCTACATAAGAAAAATAGAATCAAATTGAAAATTGTGATTGATTAATTTCAGAGTACTTTTTTACCATATTGCCAGCCTTACTCTAACCACTATGACTACGCTCCTATGCCAACCAGTATCTGTACTAATCGCTACTAACTACTTCTACACTAACTAAAAAATGACACTGCTCCTACTAATGAAGCAGCTACTACCGCCATATATTTGACTATATACTTGAGTGTCAATTTTCTTTGTCTAGTTCAAGATCATTAACAAGGGCAAGAAGACCAACATCATTGACTCTATGCTGCGGATGTTAGAACAGTACAGCTCAAACCTGGAGGACCTGATCAGGGAGCGGACTGAGGAGCTGGAGGTGGAGAAGCAGAGAACGGAGAAACTACTGTCAGAAATGCTCCCACCGTGAGTCACTGATTTTATTTATACAGGAGCTGATGTAACTCCATGGATAATTCATTTATTTTTAACGAAAGAGTAGAACAGTATAGTGACAAATGTATCAGTGACAGGTGTCATGTAATGTAATGTCTCTCTAAAACACGTGAAATCCAGTCCCATGCAAATGGTATGTTTAATGTTATTGGGGTGTTTCTATTGGACATTAGTCTACAGCTTAGCAAAAATAATAATGTGACTTAAAGTCCATTCAGTTGACAACAATTTATTTGTGTTGTTGTGTATTTTAATCCTGTTTCTACTTATTAATTATGTGAGATAGGAGAACCTGAGATATTGCCACAGAGCTGGTCACAACTGCAAAGGGAAATACTACAACAATTCTGACTAACTTCCTCCTCATTTTTAACAATATTATTCACTATATAATTTCACATGAACGCATCCTATATCAGACTCTCGAGTGACACTACAATTGGTACTCTGCTTCTCTGCAGTTCTGTAGCAGAGGCCCTGAAAACTGGAGCCACAGTGGAGCCGGAGTACTTTGATCAGGTGACCATTTACTTCAGTGACATTGTGGGCTTCACCACCATCTCCTCCCTCAGCGACCCCATCGAGGTGGTGGACCTCCTTAATGATCTCTACAGTCTGTTTGACGCTGTGCTTAGCAACCATGATGTCTATAAGGTACACAATATTATAGCACTTATGTTATTTTAGAAAAACAAGACTGAGTGGGTACATTTACATGGCCAGTAAAATCTGATTAATTAATTAAGTCTGTGTTTTTACTGACTGAGTGCGTGTTTACAGAAAAGGAAAAAAAAAAAAAGGAATATGATTATGAAAAACACCTAGCGACATGTGTCAGGAAATCGTTGGATATTTAGTGGAACTGTTGTATTAGGAAGACAAAGTGCAATTCATTTAAAAAAAAATTAAAACCCACATCAGATTGACTGTTTTACATGAGTTCAATAGTATTCATATTTTGGTGTGCATGTATACATAACCACTGTTAGTACACATCAAAAAATATTCAGGGCATGGCAAAAATTGGCAACCATTGGTATTTAATAAAAATTTCACACACATACCTAATCTTTTGTATGGAATTTGACAGATATAGTTCTGTTTTTGTGCAGGTGGAGACTATAGGTGATGCTTACATGGTGGCGTCTGGTTTACCAAAGAGAAACGGAAACAAACACGCCGCAGAGATCGCCAACATGTCCCTGAACATTCTCAGCTCCGTGGGGACTTTTCGGATGCGCCACATGCCCGACATTCCGGTCCGGATCCGCATTGGGATCCACTCAGGTCAGCTTTCAGCCAACCATAATTCCTGTTATTTAAAGGTATACTATGTTACATTCTGGGTAGCAGGTATACCATTTGCTTGTCTCCATGGAGATGTTTTATTGCTAAAAAATGTCTTAGAAGCATGCACATTTAAGGTGAGTGGGCTCGCCTTTCTACATATTGGAAAGACGTAAATACAATACTGTGTAACATTCCATGCAAAGCAATAGCATTTCCATGGAGACAAACAGGCGGCATACCCTCTATCAAAAAATAAACAGTTCACTTTTAAGAAACACTGTTTAAATCTGGATTTAGTTATCTGGGAAGTATAAATTTCAATTAACTTTTGAAAACATATTACTTTAATTTAAATAAAAAACAAACATTATCACATTTTTTGATGTAGGACCATGTGTTGCTGGAGTGGTTGGTCTGACAATGCCTCGGTATTGCCTTTTTGGAGACACTGTCAACACTGCCTCAAGAATGGAATCTACTGGACTGCGTGAGTTATCCACAACATGAAACATTATTTTTCTTGACTTTAAAAAAAAAATGTTTTCCTATTTTTTGCAGCTTACAGAATCCATGTAAATCTCACCACTGTAAAGATCCTGCGTTCACTGAATGAGGGCTACAGAATCGAAGTCAGGGGCAAGACTGAGCTGAAGGTTTGGCCTTAATATACAATTTATTCAACAACACTAGCAGCAGCTCTTTCATTCATTTGTTTTATTATTTTTCAGGGTAAAGGAATTGAAGAGACGTACTGGCTTGTAGGGAAGACAGGATTTTCAAAACCATTGCCAAAACCGCCAGAAATCAGACCTGGGTAAGAGCTTGCTCATTTACTCATAACATTAAAAAACTTTTGAAAAGCTATTAGTACACATCATCAGTACCATTATTTTACACAACTCATACACAAACTGAAACTGTTTACACCTGCTCCAGAGAGGACAATCATGGATTGAACCCTGAGGAAATAGCCAATTACAAGAGAAAGAAAGCTGAGAAAAAAAGAGTGAAATGATGGAGGTAGTGTTGTATATTGTATGTTTTGTGTGCTCCTGTGTGGTGATCCAGCTGTGCTGTGCTGTGAAGTTTCACTTTCGTGTTGTTTTGTGATCAGCCGGTATCATTAATCTTTTGATCTTATCAACTTAATCTTAAGCTCTGTGCATGTTTCCTTATTTTCCTGACAAACCCTGATATGTAGCTCTATGTACAGTATTTAGCATGTATCTAGAGAACTATCTAATGTAAACCACTGTCTTCTCCAGGGACAATTGGCAAGAGATGGTGACAGAGGAAATCAAGACTCTGTTTCGAAAGGCAAATCGTCTGGTGGACAAAAAGACTTGAATGAGGAGAGCTGAGGACAGACACTGCAGCTCTCCCTGAGGCTTACGCAGACGGTTTTAAGAGGATCGTCAGGCTAATCTGCCTGCAGCCAGCGCAGCAGAACAAGATGGTGCTAATGTAATGAGAGTGATGCATTACTCAGTGCTAGTGCTTGGGCAATGGTCCCAAAGAAGGATGCACTCTGCACTCACTGACCACTGAGTGGTCACCTACAACTAGCATGAACTTTACCAACGTCAATAAGACTGAAGATCAGACATGCCTGTTTCAATCATTAGATAATTACAGTTTTGCTTCGACAAATCCGCCTCATAATAACTCTAGTAGATGTTATGGTTGAGTAAGATTTGCTCTTCAGAGTTGGAGCTTTTGGCTGCTAAATAATAACTAAGACACTTTATGACATCTTTATTGTTTAGAAATGTAAATTAAACTATTGCTAAATGTCAGCAAAACTCAAATCCCCTGTAATGTACTAGTACTAAAAACGCTCACTGTTCCAGTGTTTTAGTACAAACTGGCATATTTACATCATATTTCTTTTAAAGTGTTTTTCGGTCATAGCATATGACTATCAGTTAACTGCTCAGCAGGCTTTTGCTTTATTTGGACTTGCTATACTCTTTAAAAGGATTAAAGGAACACTATTCTTCTATTTTTTGTAACAAGTTTAATTGATTCTCCATAGAATTCTCCAGTTTAACAAAAAAAAAAAAAAACTACTTTAATTTATGTGACCAATATATATTGTCTACAAGCCCTATGAGCACTGATACATTTTCAACTAATTTTATCAAATAATTCTAATATTTTGTTATAAGATTCACAATTGTGTTAATAAACTTTAGTTGTTTTTCTAAATGAAAAATATCATGACAACAGTTAAAGCTTTGTATGCAGATAGTACCGTATTTATTTATTTATTTGTATTTTAAGTTGAACTGTCTTGTACAATGTGTTATCATGGTAATTAAAAATTATTCCTAAATCTAAATAATTAATTAATTATTGAAAATTATACTTTTATAAAACATCACAATTCATGCGTCTTTATTTGTATTTAATTTCATTTGTCAGCCAGAAGAGGGTGCTGTGGACTTGATCAGATTAGAACAATAGTTTTATTCCGATCAAACTAAACTTAGATTTAAGAGCTTTGCCTTAAAATATGCATTACTTGACATAAATGAGTACTATTTGATATTGTGCAGCTTATGTTGAAGTTTTCATTTCTTTATTGTAACATTTATTGTAGCACTCTACTCAAACCACTGTATTTCCTGGTCACCATGAGATCCTTGTCCTCCAGGTTCTATCCTCCTTTAACTGCCCTATTCCCTTTTTATTTTGACTGTGCTAAATGTGTCCTGTGAACTCAACCGTATAATTTAAGTCTGTATGGTTTGTGTGGTTATCTTATAGTTTAATAGCAGAAGCCAAAGCCATGTTTGTTTAGTCTAATCTCCACATACCAGGAATGCATAGATGGAAAGATTGTTGTCATTTGTATTCAAGATTCACCGCACAGCTGTCTGCCATGGCATATTCCCCCTTTTTGCCTTCCCTTTTGGCCCTTCTGGACTTATCACAGTAAATCGTAGTATTATTCTGCTACTATTGTGCAGAGAAACATACAGTATTAATAACATGCTTGCTGTAAGTATTGTTAATATTGTATACTGGCTTGAGACCAGCGTAAAGAAATAATCAGGTGTGTGGCCCTTTTTTCATCTTCATATATTTAGGCAGAAATAATAGCAACGGCAATAGTAGAAGTAGTAGTTTGTCTGTAATAATAGAGGTGTTACTTTGATCCTTCCTTTTGTTTTTATCAATAACTGGGACCAGCATGGCCACACTGACCAAATCCCGGTAGAATTAAAATGTCTAACATTTGTATTTTTCTTTAAAAAAAAACAAACAAAAAAAACAAGCTCCACACTCAAAACATATATTAGTACAAAACTACACAAAAACCATTTGGCAATCAAACATATTTTTCATTTTTTTATTGAAAAATTCACAAAATGATCACAATTTATTCCAACAGCATCTTTGTGGAACATACCAACAGCAACAAAAATGACACAATATGGCAATGAGTGGACATATAAATAAGCACCTGACACATGCCACCTTTCCTATGTGAACAAAGGAATATTTCAGTGCAATCGGTGGCCAAAGATGTCTAAAGAAACTGGAGTGACTGTAACAGAAGTTTGTGCAAAAATCTTTTCTTCTTTAAACGTTAAAGATAATGCAAGAAAAAGCACCTGAATTTGACACCATTGGACCATTAATTGCAAAACAGCATGTCATAGGAAGAGGCCATACTTAATGTAAGCATTTTCAGCTCAGCCTTTTCTTAATGGGCCTCTTGATTGTGTGCATATGTAAAGCAAAGGTATCAGTTCCACAGTTTTGCCTATTGGAAGGTGAGGTAACAGTAAAACCACAAACACAAACAACGTCCTGTCATAGTTTCATTAGAAAAAGCTACCAAAAATACCCAGCATCTGTTCACTATAACTCATCGCGCATCTTGTCTCCCTTTGGTCTAACTACTCGTCCGATGTACAAGATTGAGTTGGTCTTGTTGTCTTTTATTAGGAAAATGAAAGGGTGGTCTGCATAAAAAAGTTTGGGGTTTCTCAGCTTCTCGTTGCTGAAGATGCTGGGGTCGAATGGATTTCCAGCTACATCAAACTCAAAGGCGGAAGCGTGGAAAACGTTTGAGAGGTACAGGTCCTTCTTTCCAGAGATGTTAGATAGATCTGCTTTGGACTTGTCAACCGCCTCAGTCAGACCCAGATCAGCGAGATGTTTCTGTAAAATTAATATAAAAAATTTGACTGAATAGAAATAAGTAAGCAAGTAAGTACAGTTAACTTGACAGTATTGGCATTGTACTGTATATAATAGCTGAACCTAGGTGTTTGTTGATACTACTGATTAGTATTGCTATATGATCACAGTAGTAGTATTTGTTGAAGTAGTTGTTGTTAATAGTAGTAGTATAAGAGGTATAAAATGCATTTATAATTGGTTTTAGTGACATTACTATTTTCTGATATTATTTGACCTCTAATCCATTCAAAACATGCACACATATTTTGTTGAAAGTTTGTAGTATAGTATAGTTGTAGTATGTAGTAGCAGCAGCAGCAGTAGCAGGAGTAATTAGCAATAGTAGTCACAGTAGAACCAGCAGTAGAAGAAATTATATAGTAGTAATAGTAGCAGTAGTAGTACCAGTAGCTCCAGGAGCTGTGGTATCACAGCAGCTTGTATTACCTGCAGGTTATGGCTGACTTCCAGTGAGATCTTGGGCAGGGAGATGGCCACAGCTCTGTTCTCCATCTTACTGAGCCAAGTGTCCACCTGTTTCCTGGTCAGCAGCTTCTCCAGTCGCTCCAGGGGCTCCAGATGATAGGTCATAATGTAGATCATAGAGACCTGCTTCTGCCCCAGAGGCATGTTCAGGACATACAGACTGTTCTCAGTGTCCTCGTAGAAGTCATACAGGCCTGAGGGAAGCACAAAGTGTTAAGTGAATACATTAGCATATAATGTTATGTATATACTAGATTAGTGGTTCCCAAATTGTAGTGCCAATACACAGTTCAAATATTTACTGAATGTAGAGTCAATTTAATGCATAGTTTTCTTTTGGGTTTGTCCTTATCATAGACTAGTTGTAGACCTGGGTTAGATCTGGCACTCAGAATTGTAGTGTGAAAAGTTTGAGAACTGTAACTAGAACATAGGAATGAGAGAACTATCCAATGTAAAAATGTATATGCAAGCAGTCATAAACTCCATTTGAATGTATTTATTTATTTGTCATTATTTGTAAGATCTTAAGAGTTGATTGCCCTGATATTGTTAAACTATGTAGCTTAAAACAATAATAATAAAGCAACATATTGTGAAGCCGTAATAGTAGAGTATACATTCAAAGCTCTTACCAGTGCGGTGCATCATGGGAACTGAAACAGTGAATGAACGGGTGACCAGGAAACCACGGTTGTCCACCATTTTCTCATGGAACTTCTCATGCCAGTGGGCTATGGTAAAAAAAATTAAATAATTTTCAACTCACAGTGCTCTATAAAACTTAATATGTAATATTATGTATCAAAATATCTAATCTCTACTCACGTTTGAAAAACATGGCATTGACAATCATGGCTCCATCAGCGTTCTGCACATCTTTGGTGATCTCTGGCAGTTTCCCGTCGGTGGACTTGGCAGCCCACTCATTAATGGAGTTCAGAGTGCTCCTCTTGTCTCTGAAGTTGATCTTTGAGTGGTCATAATTGTAGTGTTTCTTGCTCATTTTTACAAAGTCGTCAGCGAAGGACACAGAGCTGGGGCCGTATAGACGGTTGTTGATCTTCCAGGTGGTGTTACGGGTTTTGCCATCACTCACCTGAACAGACAATGTAAAGCATGTTTCTATTAATATATATACAGTAAGACATACACATATACTGTGCATCTGATTCACTGAGAGCAGCCCCATACCTCAGACAGCAGCTCTGAAAGGCCAGAGTGCAGGTGCTCGTCCTTCAGTTTGTCTGCGCTCAGAACAGTTTTGACCTGAGCCGCAGTCGACGCTTTTCCTCCCAGAGCAACCAGACCCAGAGAAGAGGCTACAACCACAGGAGAGATCAGGATGTTTTCAACTCCCTTCTCTTTCACCATGTTGTGGTACAGGCTGTAAAAAAAGGTTTATATGTTAAACAAAAATATTATAAACCAGTCATAACCATGTTTAGTGATAATGCTGTGCGTTTTCTGACCTGAAGGCGAGATTGGCGCTGTTATCAGCCAGCGTGGAGGCATGGCTGCTCAGTTTCTTGTCCTCTGCAGAGGACACGAGGCCCAGAAGGCACAGAGCTACAATGTTTGTCATCCACATCCTGTCTGTTTCCAACAGCAGCGCGAGCAGCCTGGAAGAACAAAAGGAAATCCTCATGAAAATACACCTTCTGAAA